GAAAGCCCTGAAGTAGCAGGTATAGGACAGGAGACTAAACCTAACATAAATGCTTGTTTTAAATAAAAGAGAAAAGATGTTCCTGGATTTCAGAAAAACTAAAATGTGAGTAATTGAGGAGCCCAAGGTGGCTTTCATTTTTAGCATCTGCTGGGCAGGAAGTCATTACTCCCCACAGTCTTGGGCGTGTTATTTCAGCACCTCTGATTCTGTAGTGGGGTTGCTCTGAGACCACAGGGATGCCACTCCATCTCCACACACAACTGGCCAAGTGGTAACCATAGAGCCGGAAGTGACGCCCTTCCCCACCCCTCCTCCAGCACCAGTCCAGGTGCTGCAGTGTGTGTACAAAAGGAGGGAATCCTAATCCGACAATACAATAGCTCTTTGGTGTGGACTTGCTAAGAAAAAATGTCTTGACATGGATTTAGAATGGTGGTCCAGACCAGAAGGAGCACCAGCTATAAGAGACGTAAGTACAGGGTTAGAAGAGGCAGCGTAGTGGTTAAGGACATGGGCTGCTCTGGTAGAGGACCCTAGTTCAGTTCCCAGTAGCCACATGGTGGCTCTCAGCCATCTGTAACTTCGGTTCCAGGGGATCTGCTGCTGTCTTCTGGCCTCCTTGAGATCTTCCCAAACGTGATATACTTATATACCTGAAGGCAAACTACTTAAACACACAAAATAAAAGTAAAAGAAATAGTTTTAAAGGTAAATGACAAAGTTCCATGCACAAGAAGGAATCCTTTTTTTTTTTTTTCAAGAATGAGGAGGAGCTCAGAGGTTGTAGAAGGCCGTGCAAGGAAGGCATGACTGGACCCTGTCTAGGACACCTAAAAATCGTGCATACTGAGATGGGCTGATAGAAGTCTAGGGACAGAAGAGTTTGTCACTGTTGAGGTGTAGAAAGTCCATTTTGGAAGGCTACCGTAGAATGGAAGAATGAGAGCCCTGGAGACCTCCAGAGATCACCTGAAAGGTTACGGTGATCTACTGCCCATGGTTTAGTGAAGAGATGGCTAAAGAGTCAGAGAATATCTGAAACGTACATCTTGGGCTTTTACAAATTCTCACCCTATTTAACTCTACATCTTTAATCTAAGATGACCTGCTCACCAACCAACCACCGGAAGCACCAGTCAGCAGAAATGGGTACCACTGACATTAACTAGCAGGTGCCCCTGAGTCTACGTGGTGATACAGATGAGAATGACTCCCACAGGCTCACATGTTTGAATTCTTGGCCCTCAGGTGGTGGAACTGTTTGGGAAGGATTAGGAGGCCTTGATGGAAGAGGAGTGTCACTGGGAGCAGACTCTGGGATTGTAAGAGTCCATCCTATTCCCAGTTAGTTCTCCTCCTTGGGTTGGTGAGAGACGAGCCTTAAGCCCATTTAAGTGAGGAGCTGCATTTAACCGCCCCAGCTTTAGGGAGCTGATGCCCACACTGGCAGGCATTTTAACTTAGCTTTTTGTTTCTTCTTCACATGTTAGCTACTCAAATGCTAGCTGTACAGCAGAGTCTCTTAAAGGAGCCATATTGTTTTTTTCCCCAGTGTACTCAGGCCCTATGTGGAAATTTGGGCCCCGATTTCCAAATGTAGCAGGTGTCTCTCAGACCACCAATGAGTTCCCAAATTATGATACAGAGATATACTATTAATTATGAGTGCTTGGCCTTAGTTTAGGCTTGTCCCACTAGCTCTTATAACTTATATTAACCTGTTTCTCTTCATCTGTGTTTTGCCTCAGGGCTTTTTAACCTGTCTTTCATTCTGTATGTCCTACCTTTCCTGCTTCTTCTGGGTCTGGCTGACTGACCCCAGACATCTCTCTCTCTCTCTCTCTCTCTCTCTCTCTCTCTCTCTTTCTCTCTCTTTCTCTCTTCCTAATTTTCTTCTCTCTCCTTAGCCTAGATTCCTCCTCCTACTTATTCTCTCTGCCTGTCAGCCCCACCTGTGTCTCTACCGTCTAGCTATTGGCCATTCAGCTTTTTATTAGCCCAATCAGGTGCTTTAGAGAGGCAAGGTAACACATCCTTACATAGTTAAACAAGTACAACACATATTTACATAGTTAATATAATATTCCTTGACATAAATAATCATAACAACTTTATATAGATGTAGTAATATTCCACAGCAATCAAGTGAAGAAGTAGTCGAAAGAATGGGACAAAAGTCTTTGCTAGCTATACATACAATGGAAGATTAATATCCAGAAAAAAAATACAAATAGTGCAAAAACTAAACATCAAGAAAGCGACCCAATCAAAAGTGGGCTATGAAACTGAACAAAGTACTCAAAAGAAGAAGTTGAGATGGCTAGTCAAATATTTCTAACAGTGTTCAACAGCCTTAGCCATTAGAGAAATATAAGCAGAACTGCCTTGCAATTCCATCTCTCCTCAATCAGATTGGCTACCAAGCAAACAAATGACAAGTATTGGCGTAGATGTGGGAAGGGGAAACTTTATTCACTCAGTGGGTGTGTAAACAGTTACTATATACACCAGTGCAGAGGCTTGTTAAAAAGCCAAAAGGAGAGATGCCATATGACCCACCTAGACCTCTGGACACATACCGAATGAATTCCACACTGTACATATAGATCTGTTTGCAGATCAATATCCATTGCTGCTCTGTTCCCCATAGCTGGGAGATGGGATAAACCTCGGTGTCCATCAACTGATGAACACATAGTAAAAATATGGTACATTTACACAATGGAATTCTCTCCAACTCTAAAGGAAACGGAGTCATGAAATTTATAGGAAAAAGATGGTTGGAACTGGAAAATACTACACTGAGTGAAGTGACCAAGCCTAGAAAAACAAATGCTGCATATTCTCTCATATATGGATCCTGACTTTGGATTTTCAGATTTGTGTGTATAACCTGGCATGTCTAGAAGGTCAGGAAACTAGAGAAAAGTCATTATGAGGGAGAAGGGGGTGCAGGGGAGAGGCCTTAATGGAGGAGACTATGTAACAGGCCGCAGACCTTTGCACACTGACTGCATGATGAAAGTGTCAGTCAGCTGTGAGGCCCAGCACACAGACAGCACCGCCTGCTCCTAAAACAAAGGCCTAATCCATCCAAGTTTATTGTTCTGACAGAGTCTGTAAACATACTAACCTTGCTTTCGGCTTCTAGTTCCGCTGCTGGATAACTGCTCTTGTTAACTCAAGTGTGTCAACCCAGAATACAGTTTTTGTGCTTAAAATCTCACCCTGAGAACCAAATGAAATAAAATCAAAATACCACCTCAGTGCTACACTGGGATCTTGAACACCTGATGTAGCTGCAAGCCAACTGATAGATTGTTTTCTATTGGCTTAAATCCATGTCTGTGCAGTCTTCTCTGGCTGATACTCCAAACAAAGACAGAACACATGTGGTGTGAAAGTAGAGGGTGGGGGTTCTGGGAACAGAAATGTTCAAACAGGGATAGGAATGGGGAGGTACGAAAGAGGGGTGTGAGTGAGGAAAGATAACCAAAACTAAGGATGCATGAAAAGTCATAGAGAAAACCACTATTTTGCAAACTTGTTTAAATATATAATTTTTAAAAACCCGTTTGAACAGAGATACCCTGCATGAGTGGATAATGTTGCTTCCAGAAGCCATAGGTTAGTAAATCAAAACCCCAATACCAGGCACGAGATACCTCCCCAAGAATTATTGGTCAGGGAAACCCCAATGGGGTCATTGCCACTAGTTTTGGTTGCCCATCAGAACCAGATGGTAAGACCTGCCACCAAAGATACCATGCACCTTGATTGTAAGCAGCAGAAAAGTCAAGCCAGAACTGAGATGGAAACGCCCTTCCTGCTGGGTAGCTTTCAGTGCTGGGGTGTACTGTGCAGAATGTCAGGAAAGAAAAGCCAGCTGGGAACCCTGTGAGCTATAATACCGCCTACCAGGCAGTATACAACCTTCTGACTGAGTCTGAGGCACACACCAAAGGAGAGCATCGATGCCGGACACTATAACCTTGGTGAAAAAGCCCATGACTAGAGGTCTTAGCCCCATTGCTGATATTGTCAACTTGGCGAATGGAACCACTTTGGGGGAGGCCTCTGCAGGGATTGCACCTGCAAGGGGCAATCTATATCAGTTTAGTCCTCCTCCACGTCTATGAAGGCTGTTTTGGTTACTTTCAGGGAGGTGGGAAGACCCATCCATGTTAACTATTTTTCCTTAGATGACTAGCCTCTCCAACAACGCAGTAATCCCCATCAGACCAAATCAGACCGAATTAAAAGATGCCCATGTGGGGGCTGGAGAGATGGCTCAGCGGTTAAGAGCACTGACTGCTCTTCCAGAGGACCTGGGTTCAATTCCCAGCACCCACATGGCAGCTCACAACTGTCTGAAAATCCAGTTCCAGGGGATCTGACACTTTCACACCAATGCACATAAAATAAAAGATAAATAAATCATAAAAATTTTTTTAAAAAAAAGATGCCCATGTTTAATGGATGGCAATTTTCCCAGTGGCCCTGGGGAAAACACGGACAGGGAAAGAGGGAAAAGGGGAGACCACGTGTTCATTCTCTGGGGGGCAGTTTAAATAGCCTGTGGGAGTGGTCTTGACCTTCCCTGGGGAGGGGTCACCATTTAGCAGGCTTTCTTGGAGGTGGAGTTTGGACTGAGGCAACTCCCAGGGGAGGGAGCTTATGCCGGGAAGCTGGGGTGAAGCCCCCAGCTAAGTAATCCTAAATATGGATTTGGGTCCTGGACTGGATAACCAACAGAATGTCAGCTGAGGGGCTAGAGAGTTGGCTTGGTAGTATGGAGCATAATTGCTCTTGTGGAAGAAACAAGTTCGGTTTTCACAAGCCACTCTGGTTTGCTGAAAACTGTTCACTCTCTCCAGGGGATCCAATGCCACTGGCCTTCTCGGGCCCTGTAGTCATATGAACATGCTAACATACAAACACACTCACGCAAGTAACTAAAAGTAAAAATTAAATGAAAGGTTATGTTTAAAACCTACCTGAGCAGGAGCACATGGACTCATCCTGGCTGTGGATGCGCGTGAAGAGTTGCTCTGGGCTTCTGTCATCTTGATGTCCCCACCATGATGGACCGTGCCCCGAAGCTGTGAGCCGAATCCTTACCGCAGGACCACCAATTCATGAATAACAACATGGAGACTTATTAATTATGAAATATTGGTCTTAGCTCAGGCCTGTTTCCAACTAGCTCTTATAATTCATTTAATCTGCTTTTATTAATCTACGTTTGGCCATGTGGCTCAGCTGCCTCTATTCTGTATTGTCTGTCCAACCTCTTCAGGCTGCCTGGCATCTCACTGGCATAACCCAAGAGCCTAGCTTCATCCTCCTCTTCCTCCCTTTTACCCCAGAAACCCCCGCCTGTATTTGTATACGCAATAAAGTTATGTCTCTGCCTAAGGTGCCTTCTGATTGGTTTAATAAAGAGTTGAATGACCAATAGGTAGGAAGGGGCGGGACTTTGGAGGTGGGAGAGGAGTCTGGGAAGAAGGCAATTTCATCATTAGACTCAGAACAAGTCTGATATGCCATACTAAGAAGAGGTAACTGAGCCATGTGGCAGAATGTAGAATTTTTAAAAATATGGGTTAATTAAGTTATAAGAGCAAGCTGGGGACAAGCCTAAGCTAGGACCAAACTTTCATAATTATTAATAGGCCATTATTTGCAGGACAGTGGCCCCAAGTAAAAGTACTACTTTAGTACCCTCATAAACACTGCCCCACCCAAAGCTTACTGGCGACAAGGCCAGTCTTGCGCAGGCCCAGTACACATAATTACAGCTGTTTACAGTTCCCGCTTGCAATGGTGTCAAGCCTAGACGATATTCTGCAGCCTTTCTCCCTGTCTTCTGGCTCTTACGTTCTTTCAGCTCCCTCTTCTGCAGTTTTTCTTGAGCCTTACAGACTTAACCATGACTTAATCTTAGCTTCTTCTTAGGGCAGCCTGCCCTTATTCATTGCTGTTTAGAGCAGCCTCTGTCTTTGAATATAAACACAGATATTAAGAGGGCAGTTTTTATGATGTGTCAATTTAGCCAAGCACTGGGTAGTAAGTTCCCCCAGGGCTATAACCACCCCTGAAGTCTGTTTTCTACTTGGTTTACAATACCGAGAATGGATTCCCTCCTGTAGAGCAGGCAGCTAATCCAGTCAGAGAGTGGTTAGTTATCTCTGGAACAATCTCACCAACAGTTACCATGTGGGCACCGCTTGCCTGGGAGGTTGGCATCTTAGTTCCCCGGTTCACATGTAGGTAAGACCTCTGATGGCTCTTCCACCCTGCAGCCTCCAGAGCTCCTTCCAGGACCCTGAGAACACTACCTTTGCCTTAAGAAAAGTTAGTCAAACAGTGGGAAATGCCTATTCCTTAATTACTTAAATGTGTATTCACATTTTAAGCTTTTAGCCCAAACAGTTTAAAAACCATGCTTAGACCATAAGGTACATATTCTGCGGTGTTTGTCTGTGATTTTGTTAAAGAAATATCTCCCCAGGTTCCTATTACTTATTAGTCACTAGTTAAAATAACACTGCTCTGTTTAACAGATGTCAAATTACACAAAAGAGATTGGTTTCTGTCTTTTGCTTTAAGGTTTCCCTTTTTTGAAAAGAGGTTTTCTGTTTCCCTAACTGGCCTGGAACCCTCAATGTAATCACAGATGATCTTAAACTGATCCTTCTTTTTATACATATAACACTCCACACCCCTCCACGTCCACCCACAACCCTCCATGCCCACCCACACCCCTCCATGACCATCCCTAGTACAGCCATTGCAGGTGTGCCCCACCATACTTCAGGGCAGATGTTTTAAGTCAAATGTTAGTATTTTTCTTCTATCTCTCAATGTCTGCATCAAATCTAAATATTATTGTGTAGATTTTATAAAGTAGATTTGGTTTGCAATTCAGGAACTTTTTAATAATGAAGATGCCTAGTGCTATATATGACCAGTATAGACAACGTCAAATATTTAAATTGCATCTTAAAAACACATTATTTTCTCGACCTAGGAATTACCATATCGTTATTATCTCAATTTTACTAAAAAAGAGGGTTTTTTATTTTAAAAATCAGTAGTGGTATTACACAGATTTTGCAGGGGAGAAATAAGACATCACCTTGTCATTATCTATATCCTTCACTGTTGCCATGGCAATGGTCAAACCATCAAAGCCAACTCCTAAAAGTTTTGTGGGATTTTTGTCATTGTTGTTTTGTTTTTCTTAAGTTTCCAGTTCAGTGTTAGGACACATTTAGGGATTTGGAACTTTCTTTTCTTCACATAAAGGCAAAAAGAACACTGGCCAAAGAACACATTGTGTAATTACTAAATTAGTAACAAGATGATTATGGCAAGCCATCACATCTTCTGGCAGGGATGGTGAAACTGACCACACAACGGTGAAATTTTATATTATGAATCTTCACATGACAGTACCCTGGAGAGCGAAGTGTCTTTCTCTTGAGATATTTTCAGCTCAGAGCTCGTGGCAGCCCTGTCTGGGTGGGCGGATGCCCATCTTCCTTCCTCTCAGCTGCAATATTGTAAAAGGAGATTAATGCCTTTTCATTTCCTGGCCACCCAGACCCGAATAATCACACAAAAATATATTAATTACAACACTGCTTGGTCAAAGGCTTATGCATATTCCTAATTTCTATCTAGCTCACATATCTTAAATTAACCCATTTCTATTAATCTGTGTATTGCCACAAGGTTGTGGCTTACCGGTAAAGTTCTGATATCTTTCTCCTTTGGCAGCTACGTGGCATCTGTCACTCTGCCGTCTTTCTCTCTGCATTGTTTAGTTTTTCCGCCTACCTATATTTTCCCCTGCCATAGGCCAAAGCAGCTTCTTTATTAGCCAGTAGTAACTAAATATATTCACAGCAGACAGAGGGGAATCCCACATCAGCCTATGTGTCTCTCCAAAGACAAATGCTGAGTGGAGAAGACAGCGCTAGAGAGAAGACAGCAGGTGGGTCAGACACCAGTCGCCACTGTGCTCTCCAGAAAGAGCTTCCAAGAACCCATCAGTGACAGAGGATGCGGTGTTCTCCTCCCGCTAGTTCAAAGCACAGTGTTATGTAAGAACCTGAGTCATCTCATTCGGCAGAAAGAACAGGGTGTTATTCTTCGATCTCACACGTTCGCACACCAGAACGCACCCAAGGTAGTTTCTGTCTAACCAAACAGATACCAGATGGATAACTGTAACTAGGCAACTAGTAGAAATAGATGTAAAGAATTAAAGCCATTAATTGGATTAGCCATTTGAACCACTATTTATAAATGGTTTGCACTTAGGAAACAAAGAGGACAGCCACCATTTTTTTTAACAAAAATCCAGAGCCATCAAAAGCTTTGTAAATGAATTGCTTTTTTATCAATGCAAGTGCAAAAACAACAACAACAACAACAACAATAGAAAAAAGCCTAGCAGTGGTGGTGCATGCCTTTAATCCCAGCACTTGGGAAACAGAGGTAGGCTGATCTCGGTGAGTTCGAGGCCAGCCTAAGCTACAGAATGAGTTCCAGGACAGCCAGGCCTTGGAACCTGTCTCCAAAAACTAAAAAACTCTGCCTCAAAACAAAACAAAACAAAACAAAAAAAGAAAGAAAACGATAAAAGATAAAACAAACAGAAGAAATACTAACGAAGAAAACTAAATTAGAGCCTGTTACAGATTAAATCTGGAATTGATACTTAAAAGGTAAATATATCCCAGGTTCATACATAAGAGTTCCAAACAGTTAATTGCATTAAAATACATTACATCTGTTACACATAGTTAGACACATGAATTCAAATATGCATAATATAAGCAAATGTATGTATGGTTTGGGGAGGTGTTGGTTTGTTTGGTTTTTGAGGCAGTTTCTCTCCTGGAATTTGTAGTGATCCTCCCACCTCGGTCTCCCCCACGCCCCCACACACACCTCAGATTACAGGCGTGCTCCACTCACCAAATAAAGTTATTATCACTGATCCTTCTATAAGTTGTTACCTATAAAAACGACGAGACAGAAGGAGAGAGAGATGAGACATTGCTGGACTCGGATGGCAAGCAGCAATGATGAGTATTTTTGCTGGGGGAAGTAGTTTCCTTTAACTCTCAAGTTCCTCTTTAGAAGTGGGAAGCAGTGTGGCCTGAGTAAGACACGCCCTCCCTGCCCGAGGGTACTTTTCCTTCCCCTGTGGAAGTCTGTGGGGAATGGGACACCACAACAGCACTTTCCCCTAGCTGTTTACTCTGGCTTCACTGGGGGGGAGGGGGGGAGGGAGGGGAGGCGGAGGAAGGGAGAGGCGGGAGGCGGGGGAAGGGGGAGAATGAAGACCGGTGGGGATGGGCGGAAGGGCGGGGAATCGAGGCGGGGAGCAGCTTCTGAAGTTTCCGTTGCCTGAAGGTGTGGCTCTTATCTCTAAATCTGAGTCTGGCTGCAGAAATCAGGATTGCTGCTTTCTGACGTCTGGCTCCAAAGATCCCCGCACTTAGCGCACCTGGAAGAGCCCAGCGACCCACCCATTCGCCTTGCGTGGGAAGGGGCCCGTGGTGCTGACTCAGCAAATTTGAGTCATTTCCTGGTCATTGCTAAGATACCTCGACTCTGCTGGGTCACCGGCCAGCGGAAGCAAGCGCATTTTTTTTTCTCCACTCCGTCATCAAAACCCTTACAGTTTCCTGCCCGACAGCCAGCTCTCTTTAACGGTTCCCCACAGTGGCGCAGAGTATCCACTAGGGTCAAGTCCACTGTTCACCCTGTCGGACCCTCAGGATACCTGCACCCCATCCACTAAACTGGCACCCAATGGCCCTGCAGGAAAAATTTACTAAGTCATTTCCCTAAATGTACACTGTCTTTTGTGGGGTGGGAGTGGGGAGACGCTGGAATTCGGTAAGCCGGGCTGGCATTGAACTCACACAAATCTGGATTAAAGGTGTGTACCATCAAGCCTGCCCGACGTTTACTGAAAATTCAAACTGTTTAGCTCTAGACCAGTATTTGATTGTCTCTCTTCCAGTAGGCTACACCCACCAAACCACAAGGAGAGGCACTAATAACTATGCAATCAAGGATAAAACACATCTTTAAGAAATGTAACTGGGAAATGACAGACCGTTCCAGCAACCCGGGGCTAAAGAACAGGTAATTCCTGTTCGCTGACTTTTTGCCTTGGCTCTGTATCAAGAGATGACTAAGAAATCAGATTCCCACAGAGCGCTGAGACCCGGGTGAAGGACTGAGAGCTCGGGACTGGCTGGGGAATCCAGGAGGGAGGCACCTTGTCTCCAATAGCGTCTCCAACCATGCCTAAACCTATTGTTCCACGCCTGGCTTTCCAAACAGACACGCGGGCTTTCAAACCTAAGAAGAGACCCGTTTTCCCTTCCCAAACGCACTAACTCTTGAGGAGCAACTGTTTAGAATCTCAAATTTCGTTGGGTCTGGTAAGTTTTCCTCAAGGACAGCTAAGCATACAAAAGATCTGGAGCATTTCCTGGGAGAAAAATAGAGTTGCTTCCAATACAAACACACCGTTCAACACTTAATGTTGTATCTCTATAATAAAAGTCAACTTAGCTAAGAGCCAGGCATGGTGGTGCTTGCCTGTAACCTCAGCACATGGAGGACACAGTGGTCAAGGTCTGCCTGGGAAGTCTGAGAAACCCTGTCTCAGGAAACAGAACTGAGAAGAGGTGGAGAAGATGGAAATGCACGTGAATATGAAAAGATATCCAATGCCAATGAGTTGGTGGGATCCACAGACACAGCAATCCTGTGTGTATTGGTTTTGGTTAACATAATGAAAAGTGGATTTCAAAGACAATACATACATGTCATATCACATTTAGTTTCCACATAGTTATCCTTGCCGTTGTTCTCCACCTCCCTCAGTCGCCCTCCTCCACACCTTCTCTTCCTGCTTGGCTGACCTGTGCCCTTTCCCCCAGTTACCATCCCTGTCTTCTTTTGTGACACTTGTGTCCCATTGCCTTCTCTTGTTTCCCCGAGCCTCAGCTAGCTGTTTCTGTAGGCAGCTGTGTCTATAGTCCCAACTAAGGCAGAAGAGATGGTTTAAACCCAAGAATCTGAAAGCAGCATCTTCAACACAGATGAAATTAACTGCCAGAGCTATCAGTGAGATCCCAAACACTTATTGTAGGAACTGAGAGTGCACACCCTCATGGCAGACAAGAGAAAGATGTCCTAACTGCTATGTCTGCAGTGAGGGTGTCAGATTTAGGTTTAGGGAACTTGGCTTGTAGTCATAAATTATGAGGCCAGAAAGATCTACCTTGCCAAGGACATCAGATCTGGTATGTAGCTTACCTCCCTTTTCTCAACCCTCCAAATAAAGTTATTTGACTACCACCATCACCCTTCTTTAAAAAAAAAAAAAAAAAAAAAGGCTCTGAACTCCAGGGCAGTTTCTTGCGGTGTTTTGGGCAACCACCTAGAAATTTCTATCAGTGTGTGGCAATGTTCAAGGCATGGGCTTGGGTTCCAGCTTGCCAGGAAATGCATACGTTAATTTGCATAGTCTGGATATCCAGTGTTTCTTACTCAGGACATGGTAGGGGGGGTGAGGAGGGCAGGGGGGCGGGGCGGACTTTGGGGGAACCCTCTGTACACAGTGGTCAATGACAGGAAAGAAGGGTCTCTCATCCAAGTCTGGACGAACAAGTATCTACTTAAAG